CTATTTTACCAAACGGCAAAAAAGTCTGCAGGTGACGTCCTGTTTAATTACACACTGCACTAACCACCCCGCCGTTCCAACTCGACATGGAAACTTCCATCTATTTATGTCTTTATATCTTCCTTTCTTTTTTTCTGTTTTCGTTTTTCGTTTGTCTTTTTTTTCCTGGGTTCAATGAACTATTTTGAAATTCATGAACTTTTCCTTCAAAATCAATGAACTTTTATCAAATTCGATGAACTTTTTTGAAATACGATGAACTTTTTTCCAAATTCGATGAACTATTTTGAAATTCGTTGAACTTTTTATAAAATTCAATGAACTTTGTTCCAGTATTGGTGAACTTTTTCAAAATCGATGAAAAACTCAATGAACTTTTTCAAATTTGGTGAACTTTTTTCTCAAAATTGATGAACTTTTTTCACATTCGTGATTTTTTTTAAATCCTATCGACTTTTCTGGAAAACGATGAACTTTTTTCAAATTTGTGAACTGTTTTTTTCAAATCGATGAACTTTTTAAAATTTGTGAACTGTTTTTTTCAAATCAATGAACTTTTCAAAACTGATAAACATTTTCTAATTTTTGTACAAACCTTTTAGAATATATGAAATTTGTTCAAGTTCACGTCTTTTTATTGTGAATTCTCCTTTTCACTTTTTATTAGTATAAAATAATACGTATAATAGACTGGAATTGTCTTACATATTTAATGTTGTTGTAACAACAGGGTCAAATACAGTCTTGTCCTTCAAATAGACAAGGAACTAAGGTGGCGTAGTGGTTATTTTCTCTGGTGAGGATGTTGGAGGGCACGGATCGAATCCTGCTTCTCCAGAAATCCCTCATGTTTTTAGCTGCACGGCTATAAGCTTTTTAGCCTCGTCGCGTTTACTGGGACGGCCCGCTACCGTGGTGTGCGGGCGCCAGTAGCGCTAACTGGCGCAGAGGGCGCCGAAGAGGACCTCTCGATGGTTGAACGGTCAACCCTTGATCGGTTAGCCATTTGAATTTTTCTTATTGGATCTGGAAATTTTGAAAAAAAAATGAAACAGAACCTTGGATTTGGAAAATGTTCATAGATGTGCAAAAAAGTTCACGAATATGAATTAACAGGTCATGAAAAAAGTCCATGAAAAATTTGGGAAAAAGTTCGCGGATTTTGCAAAAAGGTTCTTTAAAATTGAAAAAGTACGTGGGTTTTAAAAAGTTAACGAAATGAGATAAGTTCAAACAAATCTTGAAATTTCAAAAAGTTCATGAATTTTAAAGAAAATCGAATTGGAAAAGCTTCACGCATTTACAAAAAGAAAATTAAATAGATAAATAAAAATAAAAAATTCGAACAAAACTGTGCAGAATACCTAAACAAAAAAATAAGTGAAAATACAACCGGGAGGTACCAGTAGCTTCCCAAAACCGGCACCAGCTTCTCCTGGTAAAACCTTAGATGGGTCGGCCCATTTCACATGTTTTCAAGGGTCGTGTATCAAATACTCCTTCAGTTTCTAAATAAATCTTTGAAAAGATTTCACTATGAAATACATACGGAGCAAAATGAGTGAATCTAGAGCATAATTGGTTTGATGCCGAAAGTTGACATGCCAAACTTTGGCAACTGCCAAATATTGGCTAGAGATTGGCTGGTTGCCAAATTTCATTGCCAATCTCACAAAAGGTTGTCAAATGTTAACAACTTCAAATTTTGTCAAATGTTGGCTTGCCAAATGTTGGCAATGCCAAATGTTGGGCAAACCAATTATACTCCTAGATTCTAAAATGCATCTATATACATTCGTATGTGGTTCATAGTAAAATCTCTACAAATACTTATATTTACGAACGGAGGGAGTACATGGTAAGTGGCGCAGAAGGCGCTGAACAAGATTTGGAAAATTGGAGCTCCCGTTAAACAGTCTCGGCTTCGCTGAGGCCGAGCTTGCAGCGGACGAGGTGGGCCAGCCCACGTTCACTACTTGTTCTCGGCCGCTTGCCTTTGCTGGGGTTTACGTTTTTCTTTCTCATTTCTTGTTTCTGATTTCCTTTTAATTTTTTCCTTTTTCTCTTTCTGATTTGGTTTTCCTTCTGCGTTTTTTATTTTTCATATTTTTATATAGATTTTTTCCTATAAACTTTTTTGTAATATGAGGTGAACATTTTTGAGATACACAGGAACTTTTTTAAATATATGATGTACATTTTTCAAATACACACTGAAACATTTATTAATACACGGTGAACATATTTTCAAACACACACCGAACATTTCCCTATTTTAGGATGAAAACATTTTTTGTACACAATGAACTTTTTTTATTTGTACGTGAATGTTTTTGAAAAAAAACATAATTTCGAAAATTGTTTGTATTTTTCAGAAAAATAACTAAATGGTATATTAAAAAAATATTGGTGATTTCAAAAATCATTCACTGTTTAAAAATGTCTCCACAAAATTTCAAGTTATGGACGCTACATTTCCCGGGTTTTTTTTTTAGAATCTGCCGTTTTGCTATAGAGCACCGGTTCAAATACAACTCAGCACTCTGCTACCGTAACCCGGTTCCTTAGTCGCTGCAGTAGGTGTGAATGGGCTGGCCCACCCAGGGACCCGCAACGTTCTAAAAAAAGGATGAATTTGTTTTTTTACGAGATGAACATTATTTTAAATCTATAAGGAGGGCGAGATTTCTCAAAAAGAAAAACACCTTCATCTTCTATCTCTGCACCTCGCGTCGCCTCCAAGAATTTCAACTCGTACACCGCGATAGCCATGAAAGTTGTCCTTCGGTGACTGCTGGCCACTGGCTAGCTTTAGGGATGCTCATCCCAGTGGTTTTCCTTCCAGTGAGAGCGACCCGTTTGCTCGCACTGTTGGGGCGACCACAGCCTGCACCACCCCCGTGGATCTCCGTCGGCACTGGTTAGACGTTTCTTCCCTACATCTGCACACTTCCTACGCGCGCCGGGGAAGATTTGGTTCTTGTGTTCTTGGGAACTGGCTGTGTGACCTGTGCATTTGCGTGACTAGTTTTTGATGTGATATATACCTTCTATCATCATTGCACAATGATTCATGAGTAGTCTTATTTTCTTTTGTTCTCTTTATTAATCATTTGCCATTGTGTGGACTACTATTTGTTTTTCCAAGATGCTAATCAGTTTAGATTATTGATATATGATGGGAATTTGGTTAAGTATATTAGATTGCTGGATTCTAGTTTACGGAAACAAAAGATCGAATAATGTATGTGGCCTGTGGTACAAAATTATAAAAATTTGTACTAATATACATAAAATGTTAATATATGAGGCCTGCTCTACAGAGTGATAGAGTTCCTACTAACATATATTTCCTCTTTGTTAGTTAGTGAATACCTTTTAAGATATCCCCACATTTTTGGTGGACGGGACTAACACTTTGTGTCCAATTTGTCCATCTGCCTCATCAATGGGCATAACACAGACATTATTTTTATCAGTGCAACATCATGCCTTCATGGATATTTATTTTAGTTTACATACCGCTCATTTGATCTAGAGTAATTAACATGCCATTGTTTATTTATCAGAGAGGAAAATTAGTTCTCTCTTGCTTATCTTATTATAGATTGTGTATATCTTGTTTTTTCTTGACTTAAATTTTATGGCGCATTAACATGATTTTTTTTTTTGAGAACCGCCCTCCTGGCACTTTATTAACTAGGCGGAACATAATCTGATTGCACAGCCGCAATCAGGAATTCAGGAATTACATCATGATCAACAGACTGATCAGTCAAAACTAGTGCCCCCCTAGCACAAAGATGAGCAGGGATATTAGCACTTCTACGAACAAATTTCAATCTAAATTCCTGCAAATTTGTGAGATATGATTTCATCTCACGGATCATCAGAGATCCAATAGACCTGTCCTCCTCTGCCTTCCACAGATTACAAATTGTCTGACAGTCCGTTTCCACCACAATCCTCTGCAGATTTCTTGTCAATGCCAAAAGCATTGCATCCCGACATGCGGTCAGCTCTAACACCAAAGGATCAGTCATCTCATCATACTTTGTTTGTCTCGCACAAATGAAAGACCCCGAATGGTCCCGTGCTACTGCTGCCGCTCCTCCCACTCTTCTTTGCTTACAAACTGCTCCGTCAGTATTTATTTTCGTCCAACCTTCCTCCGGTGGTGACCACCTCTCCATAATGAAAGAGTTAGTCACCGGTGCTGGGCCTGGGACATCCAAAGATTTTATAAACTCCTCAATAATCTCCATAGATCGGATAGGTTGGTACTTGATCTCTTCATGTGCGTACTTATTTCTACTCATCCAGATTGCCCACATCACCGATATAGCTATAGCACTCTTATCTCTGCTCACAACATGCCCATCCAGTAAGTCCCTCGCCCATGTTAATGGGTGTAACTTGGGTAGTTTAAAATCAAACCACTCCTCCGCTGCCTCCCAATATCTGCAAGCATGATCGCATTCAGTCAACGCATGAAATAGCGTCTCCATATCACAGCCACACATCGGACAGACATTGTTGGTTCTTATATGCCTTCTATTCAGCTCGCCATGTGATGGTAGAAATTTTTTTAAAACCCTCCACCAAAAGACTCTGATCTTTGGCTGAACACGCAGCCTCCACAGTGCCTTCCATATGTCACAGTCGTCCGTCGAGCTGGACGGTGTCGCGACCTCAGTCCCTCGTCTCTCCATCATCGCATGGTAAGCCGACTGAACTGAAAACAGTCCTGACCTCTCCCATGCCCAAGCCCAAAAGTCCTCCGTTTCCCTCCTCGGACGCGGTATACTCATGATAGCTTCTACATCCGGATGTATAAACATTCTCTGAATCAACTGCACGTCCCACTGTCCTTCACCATCCATTAGATCCGAAACAAATTGAACCGGGTCATCGGACAGCCTGCAGACCGGTCTCATTGAGATGGTTCCTGGCAACCATCTGTCATGCCAAATTTCTGTAGTTCGTCCACTTCCAATCCTCCTGATAAGCCCCTCCTTTAGCACATTCCTTCCGATTATAATCGCTCTCCATGTTGGTGATGCACTCTTTGGGCAATTTGCTTGTAAAATATCACCATCAGCATAGTACCTAGCTCGAAGCACACGAGCACATAAACTTTGTGGTTTATCCAGTAACCTCCATGCTTGCTTGGCAAGCATTGCATCATTAAAGATCTGTAGGTCTCGAAACCCCAATCCTCCTTTATTCTTTGGGATTGCCATTTTATCCCAAGATTGCCAATGCATTCCTTGTTTGTCAAGTGAACCAGCCCACCAAAACTTTGCCATGATGGCTGTTATTTTCTTGCACAACCCCTTAGTGAGTTTGAAGCAACTCATAGAGAAGGTAGGTAGAGCTTGGATCACTAACTTTAACAAAACTTCCTTCGCTGCACTTGACATGAATTTTTGACACCACCACTGAACTCTCCCCCTTGAGCTTTCCACAATATGCTGAAATTATCTCTCAGTGATTCTGCCTGCTGCTGTAGGGAGACCCAGATATTTCTCAGGCAGGGCTTCTCTCTGTATTTGCAAATTATTTCTTACCCCCACTTTCATCGACGCCCCAGTGTTTGGGCTGAAGTAGACTGAACTCTTCGACTTGTTCACCCTCTGACCGGATCCTAACTCATAGGCCTCCAGTATCTCATTCAGTCTCATTGCACTTCTTCCATCCGATTTCATAAAAACCAAACAGTCATCTGCAAAAAGCAAATGCGATATCCATGGTGCCATGAGACCCACACGGACTCCACGATCAATCCATCCACTATCATAGTTCTTTAACATACATGATAAACCTTCGCCACAAAGCAAGAAAAGATATGGGGAAATGGGGTCCCCTTGACGGAAGCCCCTCGAAGGCTGAAATGGTGCGAGCAGCGTACCATTCACCTTCACTTGAAAACTCACCGAAGTAACACACCGCATAACAAGTGATATCCAGTCTTCGGCAAATCCCAGTTGTTGCATAATCCCTTGCAGATATGCCCACTCTACCCGGTCGTATGCCTTCATCATATCCAATTTTACCGCACACCCCCCTTGCTTACCTCTTTTCCTCTTCATGGAGTGAACACACTCATATGCTGTCAATACATTGTCAGTAATGAGCCTTCCCGGCACAAAGGCACTTTGCTTCTCAGAAATAACATCATCCAGAATCTCCCTTAACCTGTTCGCAAGAACCTTAGAACAGATTTTATAAATGACATTGCAGAGAGAGATTGGCCTATACTGGGTAATGTTCTTTGGAAATTTTATTTTCGAAATCAAACATATCACAGTTTTGTTTATAACCTCTGGCATCACACCCCTGTTAAGAAACTCCAAAACTGCACTAGTGACCTCTTCCTTTAGTACTGGCCAGTGGCGTTGGAAGAAGCCCGTAGTGAACCCGTCCACCCCCGGCGCCTTTGATGGCTTCATGGAGAACAACGCGGCCTCCACTTCTTCTGCTCTGAACGGCCGTAGCAAACGATCATTCATTTGTTGATCTACTTTTGCCGGAACATGATGAAGAACCGCCTCAACATCCAACTCCGGCTGAGCCGTGTAAAGTTCAGTGTAGAAGTTTTGTACCTCGGCATGGATCTCTTCTACCGATTCACATACTCGCCCATCTTCGCGCATTAACATGATTAGTTGCCTCAAGGCTTCACTATCGCAATGACTATTATTTTTGTTAACTACATACAGTACCCTTGATATCACACACACCATGCTGACATATTTTTCTGGTTTTTCTAACACCATGCCATGCACACCACACACGGGATTCTTGTACATGCATATTATATTATGAAAAAAATTCCGAGAATATTCAGTATATTGACGTCCATCCATCTATTATTTTATTTGTTGTATATCTTTTTATGCTAGAACGGTTATATTTTGGCCACTGCTAAAATCATCCGACTTATTTCCTCTGGAAATCAGTCGGGTCGGTAGCCGGCTGATTCATCCTCTACAGTCGTCGGACGGGTCAACGCTCCATTGCTTTCATCTCCCCCCGAGCAAACGTAGCCGGGAGCCGCGCCCCTCGTCGCTCCATTGCAACAGTCCGCCGTGCCTTGCCTTCGTCATTTGTTTCGCAGCAGACTATCGTCGCTGACGGTAGCAACGCCGGCGAGGGTTGCATCGCAGCACAGGCTACCGACGACATGTGTTGAATCGCAATGCGCGGCGACGAAGGATGCTTCAACGCAGAGCGGCGCGGCGACGGATGCTGTGACGCAGCGCACGGTGGCCACGGCAGGTCGTTCCACTGCAGCCTTCGTCAGCGGCGAGATTCGGGTGGAAGCAGTGCGCGTGTTGCACTGCAACTTCGCCGACGATGAGATTGGGGTCGAAGCGCGCGCGCTGCACTGCAGCTTCGCCGGCGGCGAGATTCCAGTCGAAGCAGTGCACGTTGCACTGCAGCTTCGCCGATGGCGAGATTCGGGTGGAAGAAGCACGTGTGTTGCACTGCAGCTTCGCCGATGATGAGATTTGGGTCGAACCGAGCACGCTGCATTGAAGCTTCGCCAGCGGCGAGATTCCAGTCCAAGCAGTGCACGTTGCACTGCAGCTTCGCCGGCGGCGAGATTCGGGTGGAAGAAGCACGTGCGTTGCACTGCAGCTTCGCCGCCGACGAGATTTGGGTCGAAGCGAGCATGCTGCATTGAAGCTTCGCCGGCGGCGAGATCCCGGTTGAAGCAGCGTGCGCTGCACCGCAGCTTCGTCGACGTGTTGCGTTGCTTCTCGTCGGAGACGATGCAGCATCAACGACCTTCCAGCGCGCCGGTGCCGAGGACGCGTGACATTGTAGGCTCCAGACGAGGCCAATGTCGAAGAGGTGAGCTGAGATGGCCACGGTACGTGGAGATGAAGGTAGGAGACCAAGTGAAAATGGGGATCTCGGCAGAGGACAGGAAATGATTGGCTCACGGTGGATCTGGAGATAAGGTAGATGTGATGGTGCATGGTCCCATCAGAGTTAATTGCAGGGAACCATCACACTTCGGTACGTCATAACGAATCAGTATCATTAGTCATTTTTTTGTCATGCAGTACCAACTCTAAGCCTAAGTGTTAGAAAACAGTCTACCGGACGCGCGCGCGTCCGATCGGGAACCATCACACTTCGGCACGTCATAACAAATCAGTATCATTAGTCATTTTTTTGCCATGCAGTATCAACTCTAAGTCTAGGTGTTAGAAAACAGTCTACCGGACGCGCGCCGAAACCGCACAGTGCCGTTTGACGAGGATGCATGCTACCGCTGCGCTGCTGCTCATTTTACGTCAAATAGCACACGTAAATTTATTTATACTTTGTACCATTCGTTTTTTAACAAAGTAGAAAATCGCGCGACCGTCCGCCGGAAATCGATCCTGCCTAGTGGTTCGCCGTGCGCGCTTGCTGCCTCTGCCCCACGCCATCCTATGCGTTAACTAGTACGCGTCTACGTCTTTAAACTCCGAGCCGTTCCGATTTTTATACAACACAAAATGATATTATATGTTCATCGTGTCGTACAATTTAGAAAATGTTCGCTGCATCATTTAATATGTATATTGAACATTTTTTAAGATATAATGATCTTATTTAAATATATGATATCATATTTTAAAATGTTTATCGTATATATATTTAGCATTTTATAATATACGATGTCTATATAGTGTGTATGATTTTTTTTGGATATATATTACGCATACTACGTTCGGTCTGAAGAATAAACATGCTGGTCTCTGCATTGTTTTTGGGTTGACGTTCAAATTTTTGAGTAACTGTGCATTAAAAATACAACAAATATACGCAATAACTGTGAGTTGGCCATATAATTTGTTTAGTTTTGTATTTGAAAAATATAATGAGGATGCATAATAATTATGCATGCGTGTGGTCCTGAGTGAAGACACTAAAATTTTCTGAACATTTGTTTTTTTACCCACATATTTTTTAAATGTGCTGGCCTCACTGGGCCATGGTTGGGCCATGCTGCAGCCCAGCAACGCTGGCTCGTCTAGCTGAAGTGGATCGGGGATTCAGGAACGAGTAGACGAGGGACACGGGCGGCGGCGTTTGAATCCAGCGACGGTTCCGGCCACCGCGCCGCCGCGCCACCGCACCGCCCGACCGCGCCGCCGCGCCGCGCCGTGCTGAAGTGTGGTAGACTGGTAGTTCCATGCAATTAACTCGTCCCATCAAGACATGGCACGCGGGGCGAGGCGGATGATTTCGTTCGTAAATCAACCCGCTGTTTTAAAGAGATTTCCTTATATTTTCGGTGGAGGTTTAGGCCGGACCGTTCTTTTGGTTTTTCGTGTTGGACACCTCTTTTTTCTTTCTTTTTCTTGACAATTTATTGGACCTTCCATATTTGGCTGCCAGATCTTTTTTCTAATTGCCTTACTTTTACAACACCAAAGTAAAAGCTATGTCTATGTTGAACCAAAGACATGTTGAACACTTGAACTCCCCTAAAAAATGAAAGACATGTTGAACTACACGTGACATGCTTTAAAAAAAAACTACATGACATGTCCAACTGTTTGTACGCGATAATATTTATATGTAGGGTAATGTTTACACCCGGCCGACCGGCTGAATTTTGCGCCGGTCCGCTGCACATGCGCCATGTGTACGCGGATCCCACACACGTCCTTATCCCCACCAAGCCGTTTTCACCCGCACAAATCTTATCCCTTTTCTATCGCCTAGCTTCTTCTTTCTTCTTCTCCCTCCACCGCTCATCCACCTGCGCGCGTCTGCTGCCTCACGCTCGCACCGCTGCATCCCTAGCTCCGGCGAGCCTCCACCGGTGGACATCCTCTCTGCTTCTCCTTTTCCTCTTTTCTCAGACGAGCTTTTTTTTCCCTATGCAACCCCGACAGCCCTCCCTTCCAGCTTCCCGATGACGCCCTACCCTCTCGCTCCCAGATGGACCATGGACGGCAGAAGGAAGAGCCTCTACCGGCCACGTTGGGAGCTGCAGCCGTTCACGCGTTATTTTGCAGGTTGTAGCTTCTCCACCACCTGGTTGCAACTTTTTTTGCACCGGTTCCAGCAAATTGCCGGCGACACCGCAGCTCTTCCTCGACCGTAGCAACATTTTCTGTCCCCGGTTCCAGCTTCTCTCTCTGCCGGTTCCAACATCTGGTTTGGCCTGTTCTAGTATCAGCCGGCGCGGTTGCCGCATCGCCAAATTGTCGATCCGGCAGCTTCGTCAGACACGGTTCCAGCTCGCGGTCGATACGGTTGAAGCAACCATGATGGCCGGTTCCAGCAGTATCCTGGAGTCATGTGGCCGCCGTATCCAGCACGGATGGTTGCCCCGTTGGAGGAGCTACAACTGGGCAGTGGCAGAGCTACAACCATGTGCAAAAAAGCTGCAAAGCCATACGACGACCAC